AATGATAATAACAATTATGATAAAAAAAGACAATGGTGAGATAATGAAAAACAGAGAGAGAGAGAGCAGAGGAAGTTTTTGCCTGGCAGATCAATCCACTCGAAACAATCGGCAAGATTTCTGTCATAAGGCGAGCGGCATGCAGACGGTGCAAAGATTAGGATGGCGAAAGCCCCAGTTTTTTTTGGGATGTGCTTTCCCGAAGCACAAAAAGGACTTTTCTGCGTAGCAGACGTGAGAGCACAGAAAGCATCACGCGGGAATTCACGTGAGGTCAAACCGGAACAGGATCAAGCGAATGCCAAACTGTCAGAAAAGTACATTTTTAAAACCAAAACCAAAAAACCAGGAGGAATTCTTCAGATCAATGTATGAACCAATCAGAACGGTTAAGATCTGAACTGAGTGCTAAAATTCATGAGCACTATTTAAATATTTTAAAATTGGATCGAATTTATACTGTTAGGATTTATGGACGTCCCTTCAAAATTCCAGACTTCTAGCTTCGCAGATTCCCGAGTTAGTGACTTACCCGAAAAAAACTTTAGCGGGCCTGTACCTGGGTGCTTCGCTTACCCGGGAGCCGAGTTTGCGCTCACCAATACCTACTTGGACGGGGAACATCCCCTTAAGATTTCAGATTTCCAGCGCTTCTGGTTCTCGAGTTAGCAGCCTACCCGTAAAAAATTTTGGCGGGCTTGTACGTGAGTACCACGCAGGGTAAGGGCGCCCATTTTGGGGACTGTGGCCAGCACATGCATGTAGATCAAGTTCCCAAAGTTTCAGCCTTGTAGCTTTTATAGGTCTTAAGATGAAAAATCGGTGCAGACACATACACAGATGTACATACAGACACACGGACACAGAGACAACCCCTCGTCAACATGGGTTTTCTGCATCGCATAGCTGCAAAAAACGCACAAAAATTGACTTCCCACCTATCTCAACCTATAAATGAAAACTGTTCGAAATAGCCTAAAGGCTTCTCCACTAAAAAATCCAAATTTTAGCAAAAACCGCACCTTTGCAGCAGCTTTCATAGCATCGATGAGCATTCTGATCTGATCATCGTAGGCGCCACCGATATCAATTGAACCATCACGACGTCTTCTACGTGGCCTATGCCTTTCTGCCTTCTTCTCACGCATCATAACATCAAAATCCCAAACTTTTCTGCAAAATATCCAATGAAAAAGTGAAATGAGCGAGGGGAATTTTCAGAACTACAGAAACCTGTAAAAACTAACGGCGTTTTAAGTAGGAAACATTTGTAAATTGTTCAAATTAATACACAAAAAAGCCAGCAAAAGCAAAGTACCATTCATGTGTGGTCGATGTAAATGCATAAAATCTTTCGAAAATAACAAATTTGAAGCTTGCCCCGTTAAAGTGTTGTAGAAATTTTAGAGATGCAAACAATGAACATCCCTGGCTAGGAAATTGGAAGAGGGGACGGGGGCCTGAAATCGCCGATGCGCTAACATATGCAATTTGTTTGGCACTGTTGGCCCACCATGGAAAGAAGCACAATCGAATTTTGGCAATTAATGAAAACAGTGGAAGTGGTGCCATTTAGATCTCCCAAATAAGCAAGCCTGTATATGTAGTAACTTGGTAGATTGACTATGTTTCATCCCTGAGCTGTAAACACAGAGAGCAGAATCACTGTGCGAAAAAAAATGCGGTGGGAATCACCAATACAGTGCTCTGTTTTGCCATTTTAAAGTACCCTTGTCCCAGGTCTGTATTTATGTTATTTATATGAATAAAAAAAGACTGTCGAAACTAATACATGTGAAGAAGTTGGCAATGCTGACATGCCAAAAAAAGTGGTGAAATGTCGACTGTCGAAACTAATACATGTGAAGAAACCAGCAATGCTGACGTGCTAAAAAACTTGTATATAAAAAATTTGTATATAATTTACGCAAAGGCTAT